AGAGAGAGAGAGAGAGAGAGAGAGAGAGAGAGGCCTATAGCTACCATATTGTCCTGTGCAGATGGCGGAGCTGTGGGCATAGGTTCGAGTCCTGGGAAGGATATTGATTGAATCGCAGGCCAGGGAAGATCCGTTATTTGATTTCCTATTCTTTCGAAGATGACGGTTAAATCTGAATCCTTGCACGAAAGTCTATGGTGTAGTGGTTAGGCACTACTTTGTCGTATGCAAGAGACCCGCGTTCGATTGCCGAGTATTTTTAAAAATCGAGTATCTTGGTCTTCCTTTGTTGGGATGTTGTATTCCTCTTAGCCCAAGCTGGCCCTAACAGGCAGGGTAAGACGTCCGCCTCGTAAATGATAGAAATCATTGTGTCAACAAGGGTGTAAAAACACACACATAATTTATCTTTTTTGCAACCCTTTCTTCAGATTGACTAATAATACAGTGCCGTGAATAACGCATTGTCTATGTCGTCCTACTTTCATCTTCAACATTTTTGGTTTCAAAGGCAGCATAAATGCACCTTTTTTTGGAATAGTGTTTTAAGGCGCTCGCAACTGCATAAGGTGATATGAGCGCACGGGACACACCAAATACTTTTAGTTGGTAGGAAATTTTGAATTTTGCCCGGGTGGCGGCCGAAGTCTACTCATATTGATTTTAGACCACCAAAGGATCTTTAACGTGCGCAACTTGCACACGGGCCCTCCGAGATTTTTCGCCCTTGTCCGAGAAGGCTAGGTGTACATCTTTCCTACCAGAAGATCAGGGGTGTGGCAGAAAGACAGCTGTAAGAAGGAGTCAAGGAGTAGCAGTAGAAAGGCTGCAGAAAGAGTCAGGAGCCCAAAGGAGGGGGCAAAGGAGGTGAGGGGGTGGGGCAGAAAGAGGAGACGAAAGCAGACAACAGAATATTGCTAGAGAGCAGGAAAGGAGGTGAAAGGGGAACATTTTAGAGAAGAAAATTTTTCGGTCGCTACCCGGATTCGAACCAGGGACATTTGAATAAGAGGCCAACACCTTAACCTCTAGGCCACGGGCCCCCCAAATGCACCTTATAGTATATTACCTAAAAAAAATTAAAAAAAAAAAGAAGAAAAGAACCCCAACATTTTGACAGATTAAGAAAATAAACACACACAGACACACACACACACACACACACACAC